ATATATATATATATATATATATATATATATGTACATGTACATATATGTATATATATACATGTACATATATATATGTACATATATATAAAGGATATAACTCAAGCTTTTTTATGAATGAACATGATGGTGTGACTGATACAAGAAACTGCAAGTCATAACTTGAGAAGGGGAGACGATTGGTATAGAAGTCTAGGCATGAGATAATTGAAACTGAGATTTTATCTAAACATGTTCGAGGCATAAGAGGTTGAGAGCAAGTAGCCAATACAAGCATAAGTACTAAATGGAAACAGACTAATCAAACTCACCTTTTGATTACCATCCTCATCCTGGATGCAACATCCTTTGCCTCATCAACCCTTGAATCCTTCAACCTCAAATGGTGGTGCCAATTTCGAGTCAAGCACTCCTTACAAATCCCCATTGCCTCGTCAAACTCTCCTTTCTCAATCAAACCTCGGATCAAGAAAACATATATGTCAGCATTAGGCGACACACCCTCACTGCCATTCATCCTTTTCATGTCCTTCATCCTTTTGAACGCTTGAACTGCAGCATTAACATATTTCCTTCTCAACAGAACCCAACAATATGGTATTAGAAGTGGTCAAGTTAGGTTGGATCCCTTTCAAAACCATCACATTGAGCAATTCTTTGGCTTTAAAGTTATCTGAATTTTGACAGCTTGGAAATCCTACAATTGTAGGCAACAACATTAGGTTCCAATTCCTTGTTCAAGACTTCCTTCAGAATCTCTTCAAACTAATCGTCATCCCCTTCAAGTACCGATTCAAGAGAGTATTGTAAGAGACGATATCCGGCCTAGCTCTTTCTTTGCACATTTCGTCGAGCACATTGCGGGCGGTTTCAAGATCACCTTTTTCACACAGAGATTGAAGCAGAATATTATAAGAGACGATGCCAGGAGCAATACAGAGTTCCCTCGGTGCACGATCAAAGGTCTCGATGATGAGATCAAATAGGCGATTGTGGAAGTCGTCGGAAAGGAGGGCGGAGAGGGATTTATCGAAGCGGGGCCTGCCAAGGAGGTCTGGTATGCGGTTGAAGGGGCGGCGGCGGCGTGGTCAGGCATGCCAGCGGCAGAGTAAAGGGAGATGAGACGGATGATGAAGCCCTCGGACTCGGGGGACTTGGGGTCGGATAGGAGGCGGTCGACGAGGTCGGGGCGGCGGGAACTGGCGAGCTTCCGGACGGTGAGGACGAAGAGGGGGCGTGGCGCTGGGAGTGGAAGCAGGGAAGGAGGACGGAGGACTGGAAGAGTTCCGCGACACGGTC